AATCTGATAGAGGCAGGTCCTCAATTGAGGTTCCTGTACAAACGAAAAGATGACAACAGGGCAGGTCCATGGTCGGGCGAGAATCAGGGTTAGTTTGCTCTTGCAAAAGGACCTAAGTTTGGTTCCCAGCATCCATATGTTGACTCATGATCATCTATAATTCTAGTTCCAGGCCATCTGATGCTATTTTCTGGCCTGCATGAACATCAAGGACACACATGCTGCACAGGTATACATACAGGCAAAAACATCCATATACATAACATTTTTTAAAACTGTAATAACTACATTAAGATTTTTTTTAAAAAAAAAGTGAGTAAAATGTTTGAGATAAGAGTTGTAAACTAAGTGATTAATTACTTCGGAAGGACTAAAGGAAGGAGCTGTCAGCTTGAGGCAAAACTAACTTGCAAGAACACTTTCCGAGTAGAAATAGAATACTCACACTCTGGAAGGGAAGCAGACTCCTGTTGGTTGTGAAGTTGATAGTGTCTGAGGTCATCGAAACAAAGCAAAGAGCTAAAATCAGAACTGTATAGGTTGGACGTAAAAAGGTAACGACCAAAAGAGTTATAGAAGGAATAATGGAGGCGTGAATATTAATCAATAGACCAGCGTTCAGAGACATAGGCCAGCCAGAGGTGCATTGTGAGACCTTTTCTCACTAATAAATAAGAGTTACATTTGAAGTGGTAAGTTCTGTGGAAAGTAGACCACTGAGTTGGGAAAAGGGTTGTCAGTGAATTTTACAGTCTAGCTAATGATGGAAATGGAAGAGCAGCAGATTGCATAGTATGTACCCTTACCTAGGTCTCAGAGTGCAGCCTGCTGAATTCACCGCAGTAACCTTGTGCCTTTTGTGTTTGAACCTGTGGTGGTTATGCAGGATATAAAATGTATTTAATGATGGAAATTAGGAAATGTTAGACTATAAAACGTGATGTGTTTGGACAAGGTCTTCTTGTCATAGTTGAGCAAGATGTAGAAGTTCGATGTGTTTTAAAAAAATGCACTGGCTGCTCTTGCAGAGGTCCTGAGTTCAATGCTCAGCAACCACATGGTGGCTCACAACCATTTCTAATGATGTATAGTGCCCTCTTCTGGCATGCAGGAATACATGCAGGCAGAACACTGTAGACTGAATGAATGAATGAATGAATGAATGAATGAAATCCTTTTTTTTAATGTGGGAGGAGCTAGATGAGGTGCTACAACTCTATAATTAGTCCAGGCTTGAGAAGTTGGAGTGAAAGCATCTCACGTTCAAGGTCTGCTATCAGGTGGCAGACATGCTGTTTATTAACAGCAGTCTGAATAAAGTGTAGTTAACAGTTTTAATGTTGTAGAAGAGTGTGGTAAAAGAAGGCAATTTGAAGAAGATAGAGGTTTAGCAGGGGTATTCTCTATACAAAGTCAGAAGAGAAGGAAAGCTTTATCATGTTAGAACTGAAAACACGACACTTAACACTAGATGGTGTTTGTGGAGAGTATTATTGTTGGTTTGGGGTGGGTTTTGTTTGTTTGTTGGCTTGGTGGTGGGGAGATGATGTTGTTTTTTAAGATAGGGCTCCTCTGTAGCTTTAGCTATCCTGGTGCTCACTCTGAAGACCAGGCTAGCCTAGAAGTCACAGAGATCTGCCTCCGGAGAGCTAGAATTAAAAAGGCATTTGCCACTATTGCCTAGCTTGGGGGTTGGGGGTGCTGTGTAGAGATCAGAGGCAACTTGAGGAAGTTGAATCTCTTCTCCCACCATGTGGGTCCTGGGGATTGAACTCTGATCATTAGACTTGGTAACCAAACATTTCACACACTGGACACTAGATGATCTAATTATGAAAAGAGTATTTCAATTCATTATTAGTCAAAGACATTGGTTTTTCAAGCATCTGAAATCATCTCTGTGGTAAACTTGCTTTTCTGAAACCCCTTCTGTATGGTTTTTGTATCTGGTACACATTAGCCATCAGTTTCTTATTATTTATATCTATTTAACATCCAATAAGAAAGTGGTTTTTAGTAATAAATTTTCCTTTCAGAATATTTAAAATACCATTTTTTTTTTGTAATAGTAATTTTCATGTTTAAGTACTTGGGATTCTCTTGATTTCAAAGGTGCTGGCTGATGGGTTCCTGATGATTGGGATCGATGGCTCAGAAGCAGCAGACGGATCTGACTGGTTCTGTTATCATGCAACCTCTCCTTCTATTTTCCCTGTGGGTTTCTGTGAAATTAATATGATAGAACTGACTCCACCCAGAGGTACTTCATCCCAGTATAAGCACTCATTTTTTTGTCTTGCTTTGTTTCTGTGTGGTACCTGCTTACATTTAACACAGACCTAATTTTCTTTTTGTGTTTGTATTTATACACAATATATGTGGGTGTGTATAGATATTCTTAAAACATGCAAGAGCTTTGGGATACTCTGAAGTTATGCATGGTGGTACATGTCTGACATCCCAGCACTTGGGAGCAAAGACAGGAGGATCACCCACAAGTTGGAGACCTGCCTGCTCTACATTTATATAGTTTATGTATATAGTGAGTTTATATAGTGAGTCCAGACTAGCCAGGACTACACAAGACCCTGCTCAAGGTTGGTTAATACGTTAATTAAAATAAAACACAAACTTTGTATTTTAGCTCATTTTAATAAATTGCAGTATTTGTTCTGAACCTGCTCATATTACAATGTGTTATCAATATTTACAAACCCTCTAACATAGTGATCTTAATATGTTACAGTACCATAGCCTTTTTAAAAATATTTTTTATTATTTTATATGTATGGGTGTTTTGCCTGCATGTGTGCACCACTTGGGTGCTGTGTGCCAGGTACCTGAGGAGGAAAGAAGAGGGCATCAGATCCCCTGGAACTGTAGTTACAGACAGGACCTGTGGGTGCTAGAAACTGAGCCTAGTCTTCTGGGAGAGCAGCCCTTGTCTGACCTGCTCAGCCATCTCTCCAGCTCCCACATGAGCACTTTTTAAATGAATGCTTAGCCTTCGTAGAAATAAGGGCGCTCTCTTTAGATTGTCACGTGACTTCTATTTTTGTTTTGTTGGGACATGGTCCCTGCATTCTTAGCTGGTCTGGAGCTCACTATATAAACCACAGACATTCTCCTGCCTCTGCCTCCAGAATGCTGGAATTAAAGGTGTGAATGAGCACGCCGAGCTGTCTATCTCAGAAGAGAGTAGCAACTCTCATTTAACCAGACTTTGTAGCTTCAGTACCTTTGGCTTTTTTCTCTACGTGGAGTTAAGGCAAAAATTTGTTGACATTATCTCAGACAGTTTAATTTCCTTCACAAAAAAGAAATAATTCAGAGTGTGAAATGTTAGACTGTTGTCAAGCCTAGTATTTCAGGAAAGGGTTGTAGTTTTTGGTGGTAGGAGCACCTTGTCCAGTATGCTTAGGCCCTGGACTAGATCTCCAGTGCCACCAAGGGGTAAAAAGGGCAAAAGTCTGTCCTTGTAGTAAAGAATCTTTTCTGCATGAGGGTAAGGAAGTATACACATGTGACTGCAAAGGAGGACAACTCATACTATGGAGCCAGTATGCTCAGTAATCTTAGAGCATGAGGTAGGAGTTCTTTGTATCACTAAGTGAAGTGTACAAACCCTCAATCCGATATTTGGAAATGGAGAAGCAAAGAGTATAAGGTTAACCTTCTACTACATGTAACATGAGAGCCAGCTTGTTGGGGTTTCTGTCCCGCCCAGTACCCCAACAAGTCCCAAGGAAAATCACACGGAGTCTACATCAGGTTATAAACTGATTGGCCCATTAGGTCAGGCTTCTTGTTAACTCTTATAACTTATATTAACCCATTATTCTCATCTATGTTAGCCATAATGGCTCCGTACCTTTCTCAGCTGGGCAAGTTACATGCTGTCTCTTCAGTGATCTGCTCAGGAGTGGCTGAGGAACTTCTCTCCTCCCTAGCCTTATCCTATTCTCATTACTCTGCCTCTACTTCCTGTCTGGTTGACCCGCCTATACTTCCTGCCTGGCCAATCAGCGTTTTATTAAAATACATGATTGACAGAATACAGATAATTCTCCCGCACCAACTACATAACATGTTTGAGGCTAGCCTGAGCTATTTGGGACTGCAATCTCAAAAGTATAATTTTTAAGACAGAATAAAAAGAAATTATCATATCATCTAAATTCTGAGATTTCATGTACTAAGTAAGTTATTATCTGCATTTTAAAATGATGCTAAATTTTAAATGAACTGTTAACCTAAACCAGTTGTATTTTTTAGGTTACACAAAACTTCCTTTTAAATGGTTTGACTACCTCAGGGAAACCGGCTCCATTGCAGCACCAGTAAAACTATTTAATAAGGTAAATTTGAATTGTGGCATGATTATGACATAAGAATGGAAGGAATTCTTGAGCCAAAGTTCTTTGTCTTATATTAGAATTTCTTAATGAAAGCCAGGCAGTGGTGGCACACGTCTTTAATCCCAGCACTCAGAGGCCAGCGTGGTCTACAGAGAGAGTTCCAGGGCGGGCACAAAAACCCTGTGTCAACCAGAAAGAAAAAGAATTTCTTAATGAAAATTAAGAAAACATTATATAAGTGTTTTCTTTCAGGAAAAAAAGCATGTTTATAATTTTTTTTATTTTAATTAGCATAGGGAGATTCTTTGTGCCAGGACTTACATGTAGAGGTCAAAGAGCAAACTTGTAGAGTCAGATCTCCTTCTACCTTTACATGGATTCTGGGTTCAATTCCGGTCACCAGACTTGCACTTTGCACACTGAACCATTTTTGTCAGCCCTAAGCTATTTGATCTTTAACCAGAGGGAAATGAAAATGAATATTTTTTCTGACTAGTTAAATGTGTCCCTGTTGCAATATGGTGACATAACTAAAGCTGTAAACTTTGGGAAATGATTTTAGATGGATCATTTGCTGTCCTGGGTGGTAGCCAACTGCACTTTCCTGAGCAATGTTGTTCATACTTTGTTTCTCTATGTCAGGATGTTCCAAATCACGGATTTCGTGTAGGAATGAAATTAGAAGCTGTAGATCTCATGGAGCCACGTTTAATATGTGTAGCTACAGTTACTCGAATTATTCACCGTCTCTTGAGGATACATTTTGATGGATGGGAAGAAGAGTATGATCAGTGGGTAGACTGTGAGTCCCCTGACCTCTATCCTGTAGGGTGGTGTCAATTAACTGGATATCAACTACAGCCTCCAGCATCACAGTGTAAGTTGCTAATACAGAAAATATGTCTTTTTACAAAAGCAAGCTAATTCTCCAGAGAGCTCTCTCATGTAAATTATCTTGTAGCTCACAGGACAAGAATATATCGATGTCTGATGAGTTGCCAGGTAGGTTACTCAACAATATCACAGAATTAGACCATGAATGTCATGGCAATATGAAGCTAGTATCAGTTTTATAGTAAATAGAGAAAACCTCAAGTCACCAAGTTAAACTACACTGTTGTCAAGTTGAACATTACAGGTTAAAAATGTATCATTTATAAATGTTGTCAAGTAAATAGTAGAGTCTGTCTATGGTGAGGGGAATGATTTTGTTAGACAAATATGTCCTCTAAAAGCAGTGTGTACTTCTGAAAGCATAATGATCTTCATAAAGATAATTCGTCCAATTTGTGTCTAGAATCGTAAGCCTTTCTCCATTACCAATTCTTCCCTTTTATTTTTCAGCATCAAGAGAAAGCCAGTCAGCCTCTTCAAAACAGAAGAAAAAGGCTAAGTCCCAGCAATACAAAGGACATAAAAAAAGTGGGTCACGATGTGTTTGTATATGTTTTCTAGTTGTGAAGCTGTTGAGGTCACAGTATTCTTGCACAGAAAATTACATCCCTGTGAGAACTGATGCTTGTTCCTTATGTATTATGCTTAAAGGTGCAGTATAACATAAAAGGCAAACCTTTTTGATACTGAGAAACACTTTTAATTGACAGGAGAAATGATATTCTTTATCTGTGTGTTTAAAGCACAGAGATAAAGAATAGAGCCTGAGAATGATTCTTGAAATAATTATAGACCTACTCAAGGTTAATCACTTTTTTTAAACGTTTTTTATTGAAACAAAAAAAATACTGCTTGATGCTTATAATAGCCATCATTCCTACAATGTATGCTCTGTCTCGAATGATAATCCTGAGAAATCAGCATTGAAGGGCTGGGGAGACAGCTCGGTGGGTACAATGCAGAGGTGAGAACCTGAGGTGGTGGCACACACCTTTTTTCCTAGCACTCAGGCAGAAACCAGGCCGATCTCTTTTGAATTTGAGGCTAGCCTGGACTATAGAGCAGGTTCCAGGACAACCAGATCTAAACAAAGAAACCCTGTCTGGAAAAAAACCACTGAGGTGCAAAGTGATAAACCTCCACAGGAAGAACAGACTCCCTCGTACATGGTTATATCACATGTCACAGACACACATCAAAATAAGGGGGAAAGCATCTAATCTAAGTTGATATCTATCTAACAAAAATGCTTCCTGTAATGTATTTTTTTCTTACAATAAATTGTGGTTGTCATTATTAGCTACAATAACATAAAACGTTTTTCAACTACCATAGAAAAGCACGAGTTTTTCTGTTCATGAAGCTTGTTATAGAATATCTTATTCTAAAGTTTAAAAAAAATGTTTAAGATACTTTTTATAGTAAAGTATGCCTACAGATTAATCAAATATTCTCTGTTCTTCCTGATTAACAGTTATTTATAATGTTTTAAAGTGACAAACCTAATTACTATGCTGGTGCTTTGAAAAGCAAGTTTCCACGTCGGGTGGTGGTGGCGCACTCCTTTAATCCTAGCACTCGGGAGGCAGAATTCAAGATCAGCCTCGTCTAGAGATCAAGTTCCAGGATAGCCAACCCTTTGCAGAGAAACCCTTTCTCAAAAAAGAAAATGAAGTTTCCTCCCATCATAAAACATTATCTATGCCAGGTGTTGGTGGCACGCATCTTATATTCCAACACTCAGGAGAGTTCAAGGCCAGCCTGGTCTACATGTAGACTGAGTTTCAGGACAGGCTTCAAAGCTACAGGTTAATTCTGTCTCAGAGAAAAAAGCAAAAAAAAAAAAAAAAAATCGTTATCTACCCTCAACTAGTGATGACTTGTATGACATCATTGTAAAGCAGGCTTATCATTTGCCCTTTCCTCTGTGGGCAAAACCTCGCACACACCCAGAATTTTAGTTTTCTATAAAGTGAATTTAACAGACTCTTTTAATCTGTCTTATGATTTTTTTGGACAAGATTTTGAGAATGATTTCAGAAGATTTTAAGATGCTGAAGTTAACTGGTTTTAGCCAGGCGTGGAGACGAGTGACTATAATCCCAGCACTCAACAAGCAGAGGCAGGAGTTCATGGTCATTCTCGGAGGCAGGAAGAATACACACACACACATAAGTATGTGGTGTATAGGTGTGTAATTTATGTGTGTGTGTGTGTGTGTGTGTGTGTGTGTGTGTGTGTGTGTGTTCCCAATGACTTATGGAAAGCCTTTTTTAAAACTAGCTGGGTATGGTGACTCATACTTGTAATCCCAGCTCTCGGGAAGCTGAGGCAGAAAGGATTGCCTGGGCTATAGAATAAGGCTGACTTCAAGAACAGCAAGGAAGCTAGAGAGGTGGCTCAGTCATTAGCAGTACTTGGGCTCAGTCATTAGCAGTACTTGCTGCCCTTGCAGATGACCAGGTTCATGCCCCAGGACCTACATCAGGCAGTTCACAATGCTTATAACTCGAATTCCAAGGGATCCTGGTTCTTTTCTGAATCAGAGGTCACACATGGAGTTTATATACACACACACACACACACACACACACACACACTCACGTGCACATAAGTATATATTAAATCTTTTTTTTTAAGGAAACAATTCTTTTTACTAACTATTAAGCATTATATGCACAGTTTTCTTGCCTCTTTATGATCCTTGCAAGGTTTGTTTCTGGCTTAAATGTTTAAATCTTTGAAATGAGTGAATTGACAAAGTAAGAATATTAGTTATCCAAATTATAGTGCTATTTAATATTCTCAGGTTTCTGAATTAGAGATTAACTTTAGCTATAGATGGAACATACCCCTTAGCTCTGACATTTTGTTCTTAATACTATGATATCATGACTAGTGCCTTACAGTTATTTAGATATAGAAAGTAAAATAAGTGATGATTCCTTATTAGAAACCCTTGGAATCAGATATGTTTTGTTTTGGAATTGAGAATTTTTTCCCATTTCAGAAAAATATAAATAAATATTGTGGAATGTAACTATCTAACACTCTGCAAACTCTGGAGTGTTTCTGAAGCAAAATACAAATGTTGCAGTAAGTGGACCAAGTAAAGATAATAAGTGTATCATCAAGTGAGTATGGTTTTATTGCCAAAATCTTAGAAAAATGCTTTTTTTATGTTGGAATTGAAGAAATATAGTAAGCAATCGTTTTATAAAAGTACTATTTGCTTCCTATTCCATAGGAATTTTTTTGAGTGGATGAATTGAGCCAGAGTTTCTCTGTATATCCCTGACTGTCCTAGAACTACTCTGTAAACCAGACTAGCCAGGAGTTCAGAGATCCACCTATCTCTGCCTCGAGAGTGCGTGCTTCAATTAAAGACACTAACCACCACTGCTGGCAGAATTTTTATTTTTCCCCTATTATGCAAACTTTTATTAGAAATATTTTCCCCAAGGCTAGGTGTGGTATCTTAGGCTCGTAATTCCAGTAGGGAGAGGGGGGGCAGAGACAGGGGGATTGCTGCAAATTCAAGGCCAGCGTGGACTGCATAGTGAGTTCTAAATTAACCTAAATTACAGAATGATACCGTGTCCCAAAGGTAGATTGGGAAGCAGAGTGGTGCTGGATGGCTAGTTCAGTTGGTAATGTACTTACAACACAATCATGAAGGCCAGAATTTGGTTCCCTGAACCTACATAAAAAGCAACGTGGCACATGCTTATGTAAGTGCTAGAAGACAAAACAGCAGGACCAAGTTGTTGCTGGGCAGTGATAGCACACACCTTTAATCCCAGAGCCTTTAATGCACTCGTGAGGTAGAGGCAAGCAGATAAGTTTGAGACAAGCCTCATCTATAAAGCAAGTTCCTGGAGAACCAAGGCTACACAGAGAAACTGTGTCTTGGGGGGTGGGGGGGATCTTAATTTGTTTGGGAGCTGGAGAGAGCACTTGCTGCTCTGGAGGAGGACCCAAGTTAGAATTGACCATCCACATTGGTTGGTTCGTTACTGTGTGGAACTTTAGCAAGAGGCAACAGCCTCTTGCCTCTGATGGCACCTACATGTATGTGCATACTGACACACACATACATGTAAATACAAATGAAAATCTAGGTTATTCACTGCAGGCAGACTTATCCATAGCAGATGAGCTTCAGAACCTGGTGTCTGTCTTTAGTTCACTGGTGGATTGTTATGTTCTGACTCTGTTGTTTCTTGGTGCTTGGTGCTCTTCTGTACTAAAGTGGCTGTGGTAGTCTTTATTGTCCACCAGGATAGTTGATTGTCTTCATTGTCTGGAATTGTGAACAGTGAGCCTGGTTTGTGCTATAATTGTGTTACATAGGGAGAGTTGTTAACTAGCCCTTTGGAAAATAAGAGTGCAGTTTTACCAGGAGGGTCTTATAAGCTGTTCAGACTCAAAGAACTTTTTCTCAAACCATAGTAATCTGGAGCAGTTTAAATCTCCCTGTTTTCATGAGGTATTGTGTGTAGAACTTGGTGGTTTTGTCTGGTGTTTTACTCAGAATGTGTTAGAAAAAAAATCAGATAGTCACTGCACATGACAGTGTTCTGGTATGGAGAGCTGAGTGTGAACTCACTTCACTTTCAGATTAATTTTTTTATGGGAATGCTGCTGACTTAAAATTATGCATTTCATTCTGATTATCTAAAGTTTAGCTGGCTACTGGGTCATTATACACATAGGAGGAAAACAGATAAATTGTACATTTATAAAAATATGAGTATCTTTCAGTTTTCACCCTTATTGCACCATGCCTAGTGATTCAATGTTTGCAAAGTTTAAAGCATATTTTAGTTTGGTAGAAACATTTTGTGAGTCTAGAATGTTTATGTTTACTTATGAACCTGTAACTAAAAATGGTATAGGCCTTTAGGCCTAGCACACAGGAGGCAAAAACAGGAAGATCAGAACCTCAAGGTTTTTTTTAGCTACCTAATTAGTTTAAGGACAGCACAGTCTATGTGAGACCTCGCCTTGAAACAAATTAATTAAGAAAGCTGAGCGCAGTGGTGCACACTTGTGATTCCAACACTTGGGAGATGGAGGCAGGAAGTTGACGTTCAGCCATATCTACATAGTAAGTTCAAAACCAGCCTGGGCTGTCTGAGATCCTGTCCAAATATGTTAGATTAAATATTTGTAAGCAATATGTAATAAGCTTTGAGTTTTAGAAGTACTTTTCTGGGTCAGAATTACAAATGCTGTCTGAATGCACTGCTGACAAAAACTTAGGGGAGCACACTATATAGCAATGTAATTGTGCCATCCAGTCGAGACTTACGAAGCTATTTTTGTTTGATTTCTCCCCCAAAGGGCCTTAATTGGGCTTCTGTCACCAGGGAAATGCTGCCTTAAAAGTTACGCTCAGGCCAGGCAGTGGTGGCGCACGCTTTTAATCCCAGCACTCGGAAGGCATATACAGGCAGATCTCTGAGTTCAAGGCCAGCCTGGTCTACAAGAGCTAGTTCCAGGACAGGCTCCAAAGCCACAGAGAAACCCTGTCTCGAAAAAAAAAAACAAAAACAAAAAAAGTTATGCTCAGAAACTTTCTCTTGGGATCAGTGTGTAGATCACTGTAGCATTTGCCCAGCGTGCATGAGAGCCTGCTGGTCTCCAGCACTACTACAAGAAAGTAAATAAAGACCCTCTTCTTTATTGGCTTTTCACCCAGTATTCCATTTTCTTGAGTGAAATTCACCTAGCAGTTGTCCTCACTAACTACTCTATAGTTTGTTTTGCCTTCTTTAGTCATTTTAAGCTTGAGCGTCAAGACCAGGATTATCAAACCAGAGAGATTGGAACCAACCTGCCCCCAGCATGTGCATTGCTGTGCATGGACACATATGCACGCACACGCATATATGCATAAGTTAAGCCTTCTACAATCAGCTGACTGCAGTGTCCTGTACAACCCAGCCTCCCTAGTAATACGATGCACTTTTCTTATCACACACCTAAGTCAAAGCTTACTTCAGTCTGACTTGATGTTTAGAGAGGAAGATGCCAGTTGGGAAGAAGCCTGTCAGTTTGTCGAGCCTGCCCATGACAGGCGGGGTGCGGAGGAGTTTCTCTGGGGACGAAGAGTTGACTCCTCCTCCATATCGAACCCTGCCAGCACAGACAGCCCTGGAGGCCTTCCCACCTCCCAGCACTAGCCGAGAGTTCAGGCCCAGCCTCAAAACAGGTAACTAGTCACGGCAGCACCACAGGTACTACAGAGGGTCAGGTGCTGGGCAGGGTGGTGGGAGACAAAGCATGGTCTGGCGTGGCAGTGCTGACTCATCAAAGCTTTTCTTTTTTTTTTTTCTTTTCCTCTTTGTTTTTTTTTTTTTAACTAAAATATCCATTTTCACTGGTAGGCATTTCACTAAGATGAGTCATCAGGAAAAGGAGTTTTTGATGTCCTTACATCTTGTGAAAGCTATCATTTTAGGAATTATGAGGCAACTCGTGATATTTCATTCTTTAATTAAAGTGGCTAACATTACATTGTAGACATCCATGTGACTTAACTTGGGGGAGAGAGACATCCTGAAGAACTCATCTAATTAATCAGACCAAAAAGTGAGACATTTTTCATAACATTTCTTAGTGTTCATTCTTAGAAAATGTGTGTTGAGTTCAAGTAGTTTTAGTTTTGGTAGTAAATCCTAGCTGAGCATCATCACAGACTTGAAACACATTAACTGTATATCATGATATTGAATTAGATTGAAATTTATTTCCATAATTCCATGTTTCTGTGTGCACAGTGATTAAGTAAGTGATCTTTTTTGGTATTTAGTTGGTTAGACCAGGGTTGTAGAGCCAAGGAAGACTGTTCAAGGTTGTTTTACCCCTTGTAATTGCTAAAACCAAAGCTTTCTTTAGATTAAAGATCTTGGAGCTTCAAAACCAGAATGTATGTTTGATTAGCATGTATCCTTCCACAACTTAAGGATTGCTTTTCAACTGACTTGCTTTAGCTGATCAGCATTTCCTAAATGGCTTTGTAGTTAGAAGGTCTACATGGAACTTAGTACCTTGTTCCCTTCTCTTCTGTTTGCCAGAATGTTTGTGCCTGGCATTATTAGCCATTATTTCACTTCTGTCTAAGATGTACTCCTTAGCTCTCACAGCTCTGACAGTGTGTGTGGCCAGTTTTCCACCAGTCAGTTTTTCTGATGATCACTGTGGTAGCCTTGGTCAAGGGAAATGTCCATGCTCTGTTTTACATGAAGAGCAGATTTGGATTACAAATTTCAGATTTTGTCTGCTGTGGCCAGACATGACGTTAAGACCTGTAAACCCAGAAGGAAGATGGGAATTCCAGGCAGCCTCCTGAGAGACCCTTTCTCAACAAATGCCAACATGTTGGCTATTCTTTTAATGTATCACCCTTTAAGAACTAACTTTTCTCTTTTCATATGTGCTATTTATGAAATAGTATTTTAAACAGAATAATTTTGGAAGAGTATGTCATGTTTTGATAGAGGCTCTGATTCACAAGCTGAACTTGACTTGTGAGATGCTACAAGAAAAACCTTGTGGCTTCTGACTTCCTCATTCCTTTAGTGTCTGTCTTCTGAGCTCTGGGCTGTGTCTGATGGGCTGTGGTGTAATCTGCTCCGTGAAACACTATAGAAACTGTACTGTTGCCTTCATGTTTGAGAGCCATCGTTGGGTTGGCTGTTGAGAGAATTTATGATTATTCGCTTTTGAAATGTCACTTCCATTTCTCTTGTGAAATGTTCGTGATTAGTGTGACTAAAATGAATTCCTTTTAAAAGCATGGTTTAGAAATCACTTTGGTGTAGAATGTGACATTGAGCCACTAGATCATCCATCATTAGTTGAGAATAAAGGCTAGGAAGAAAGGATGATACCAGGCGGGCTTTATTTTAGATTTCATGAAAAGTGAAAGTTTGCATTTAAAACATTCCATATCTGAGTGAATGTTTCACCTTTATCTTCAGTGATTTTAAAGTGCATCATTTCCATATTTTAGCATGATTCTACTCCAGATACCTGTTTTGAGTATAAATGCATACAGCTTTAGGGTGTGCTTTAGAACCTCAGCTTTATCTTTCTTACATAAAAACACATCGTTTGAGTGAAACATCTTTGATCTTGAAGCATGGTGATTTCCATTCATTTAGCCATCTAATCATCGTATAACAAGATAACATTCAACCTTTTATTGTGGGTACTGCACCTTTAATGAAATGTGGGTTGTTTCAGTGTTTATCCTTGTGATAGTACTAAAATGTCCGTAATACTTACTGCATGTTGGTTAGATCTGAAATATAGCTATTGCATATTTGCTAACGTTCATTAGAACATATTTTTATTAAGCAAAGGAAGAACTATACAGTTGCACATGCTTTGCCTTTCAACAGTGTGTTGTTTCTTTTACTCTTACTATACACAATATATTCACTTTTTTGTCTTTGGACTATTAAATTTTCAACATCGATATCAAAATAGGAACCAAAGTAAGATGAATTGTCAACTCTCCAAACATTATTCCTTACAGTGGGTAAATGAGACATCAGAAGTGCTAGCTGATGACGCATGCCTTTAATCTAAGCTTCAGGAGTTAGATCTGTGTGAGTTCAAGGCTGGTCTATACCATCAGCATAGCAAGTTTCAGGCCAGCCAGAGCTACATAGTGAAGCCTCATCTCAAAAATACAGATAAATATATAAAAATTTAATAAGATGTCCTAAGACTGGGTTTTGTATATCTTTGTTAATCTTATTATACAGTATATAGTCGATCCTGGCCTCAAACTCAAGATCCACTTGCTTCAGCCTCCAGACTGCTGGGAATACTGGTGTGAGCCAAAACACTGGGACTGGGAGAGAGGTCGTTAATCTTTAAAGAAATCTTCAAAACTAAAATCAGTACACAGTCTGGAAGTGTAGCCCAGAAGTAGAGTGCTGACCTAGCATACACAAAACTAAATTCAGTCCCAGCACCATAAGAAATAAAATAAAATAATGCTGGGCAAAATGATGTCACACACCTGTAATCTAGCACTTGTAAGGAAGTGCTAGGCAGGAAGATCACAAATTCTAAGCCAATCTGAGCAACCTAGCCAAGACCCTGTCTCAAACTTCTAAAGGGGGCCTGGTGGGGCTGAAGCTCTTGAGTAGAGCACTTGTTTAATGTGCCCAAGGCCCTAGGGCCAATTTCCAGCACAAGGAGTGAGCACAGAAGGAAGGAAGGAAATTAAGTGGCTGTGTTCAGGGGTTTTTGGTATAAGCAAGTTTTTATTTCACATGCAGCCTCCCTTCATTCAGTTATCTGTTCTAATATAGTACTAAACACGTGCATAATACATGTGTGCATTTACAGAGAAAAAGATCATATGTACTGTACGCTGTATTTTTTACATTGCATACATACATATTATATTAATAAAGCTAATTTGAAAATTAGGTATATTTAAAGAAGTTTACTGTGCTGGCTTATACCTGTAATTTCAGCACTTGTAGTAGTCTGAGACAGGAAACCAGCCTGGACTACATGAGCCCTTGTCTCAATAAAAAGAAAGAAAAGAAAAAAATCATAGGGCCCAGGTAAGGGGAGGGAGGCATAGCTGGTGACCTCAGATTTCTCAAAACTGAGATGGCTAAAGAAATGTTTGCTAGCTGTGGTAGTGTATACCTAGAATACCAACCCTCTGGAGGTGGAGGCAGGAAGATCACAAATTCAAGGCCATCTTGGGCTACATAGGCAGACACTATCTTGTTGAGTATTATACCTCCAAATGTACAAGAAATATGTAGGTTTCTATAGGCATTGACATAAAAGTGAATATTTAATTTTAAGAATTTTTAATTATTTTAAACACTGTTACTTGAGCATTCTGTTGGAGATCATCCACTGTGTAGCGTCCATTGTGCATCATTGTTCCTTTCCTAAACATTTATTAATTGACAGTAGACTTTAAAATTGGAATTTGAGAGGTGTAGCCCAATGGTAGAGTATTTGCCTAACATACGCATATGCATTGCCCTAGAGACATACACACAAAAAAGTTAATATTTTTTAGGCCTTTATTATCTTTGTTGTCTGTTTGTAGTACTGAGGTCAAGTCCATCACCTCGTGTTTGCTAGGCAACCATTCTACCCTTGAGTTCTACCTAGCCTTCCATGGTTTCATCTTTATAAGTATTGAAGAAATGACGTCTTCTTAGCTGTAAAATTGATAGAATATGAAGATGAAGAGCCAGGGCAGTCGAGAAGATTTGGTAACATCCCATGCATTTCTGTCTCATACAGTGACCACATCACAGCTGAAGGAGGAGCTGCTAGATGGAGAGGATTATAGCTTCCTCCAAGGAGCATCTGACCAAGAAAGCAATGGTTCTGCCACCTTCTACATCAAACAAGAGCCATGAGGTGGCTCAGAAACGAGGAGTGGGAGGGACTGTCTTACAGGACAGATTTGTCGTCATTCAGCTGTACAGCAGGCTCTTCTACTGGGACATTTTGCTAAATACAGAAAAGTTCAGTTCCAGATTTTTCAGGTGGGGGGGAAACTATTTTGGTGGGGAGGGAATTTTTCAATTTATAAAGATGGACGATTTTTGTGTTGTATTTGAAGCTTTTGAAAGAATTTTGTAATATTTTCCAAGTTTGGATTTATGTGCATTGTTAACAAGAACTGAAATTCTAACTTTTTTGGTAAGATTAAAGTTTAGGTAACAGTATTGAAGGAAATGATTAAGAAGGATATAGTTGTAAATGCGAATGAACTGTCATTACAAATGAACCTTCTTGGTACCTGTTGGGAGATTTTTGAATTTTAGAGTTAGGCCAGTCACATCTCCAGCTTCCTTTGCTGCAGAAATATGCAACTGAACCCCTCACAGAGGGCTCATCACCATGTAGATCACGGAAGGGGTCATTAACTGTGCTCGCTGACATTTTATTGCAGCCCATTTAAATGTTTGTACAGAAATTTTTTCATTATGCTAAAATTTATTTGGAGTCGTATTTGAAACTAGAACTCTGGATACTTTTATATGCTCTCCTTCAAGTAAAAATGATAAAGTTTTCTAACACTAGAGTGTTAAACTGGAATGGTTGACAGATACCAGGATCTCAGTATACATAAGAGGTCAGGGAAAATAAATATTTTCCCAAGTTTATTCTGTTTTCCTTGCTAAAGGATAAAGAACTTCCCATGAAAGGGATATTCTTATCAAACCTCTGCCATTTCCCTCCATCTGAGAGAGAGCAACTTGATGTAACCACCCCTGAAAACAGACGTTCTGTATTACCAATAGAATCAGATAAAAAAAAAAAAATGTTTAGATTTCAGATCATTCCAGCTCCACTTTTAACTGTCCTGGATTTGTTAGAAACTTAATGAAAAAAAAAAACTTAATTTTCTTCAAATTCCACACACATACTGACATACCTTTAATTGTAGGCAGAATTTATTTTAACAATAACTGATTTGGACCATTTTAAACATTCCCTATTTTAAAATTCATATGACTTCCTTTAAAAGATAGGATAAAAGGGTAAATTGGTGAAAGGTTTGCTCTCTGCATTTTTCTACCCTTCTACCGAGTTGTGACTGAATGAGCGCTCTAGAGTTTACCAGTGAGGTTCATAAACTAAACTCTCAGGAATTCATTGCATCTGTTCTAGAAGTGCTTCTGGGTCTGAGCCTGGCCTCTTCAGAGTGGTAATACTGCCCATCTCCTCTGGAAAATAGGCAGGGCTAATGAGAAATTAATCAAAATGATTAACTTCTGCAGCCCCATAGCCTATGGAATGCTTTAAAAAACGCTAATGGAAAACCCCAGGAGACATTTTAGGTAAGATTTTTGTTTGACTTTTAAATGCATAGAACGTTAAAAACCAGCAATTTATTTTCTAAAATATTGCTCTACTTTTGGGAATAATAGCATTGGTAATATGCACAGGTTTACCTCATTCTATGCAAGAGGGGTTAATAACGTAAGGTTTTGTAGTAGCTACTGGAAGTAAAATGTGTTACTTTATAGTGTAAAAATGTATGGAATCGCATGTCACCATTTCTTAATACTGACTCTGGGGGCTAAATGCAGATCACATCAATGCAAATTGAATCTCGTGTCAAATATATGTGAATTCAGCTGTAAAATTACTGGATATTTATCTTAAACAACATTGCTGAGGGGGACCTACTGTAAATGTGACATCCTCGCACTTCCCAAATCTTTGAAGGATCTTCCTAGGAACTTAAAGCCTAGAAGAGGTCCAAAGCAAATGTTACAGTCTTTATTCTCAGGCTCAGTGGATTAAATCCAGGACTGTGCTTCCATGGTACCAGCACAAGAAGCCTGTTGTATGGGGTGCACTCCTCATAGCTTAGGTGTAGGAGTTCTCCAAGGAACGAATTGTAAGCCAGGAAAGATGTGATTTCATGCCAGCCAGTCCTGGTAATTAGTTCTGTGAAATGCTTATTTGTAGCCAGGTTCTACAAGCTTCCAATTCTACACCAAAACCAGGCTTGGCGTGTTTAGAATTCCCCACCTACATTCATTAAGTGTTTATGTTCACCAAGAGTGAGGGGTTGTTCGGACTTATTAGATAGAGTCTAAACACAACCCAGAGCCCTCTTCTTTGTTAAGACCCTCACTCCTGCTGCTAACAAAGAAAGTTAACCAGAGGAGACTTTCATTGTAGCCATAATTACTGTACCCCTATTCTCTTTCAAAGTTTAAAATGTACTGCTGACCTTGGGTTTGTTTTTGTTTTCCTGTTAGGAGCCTGGGAACTTTTAGTACTTTAAACTTTTTAACCTTTTCCTTGCTGTGTATGAGGAAAGCTAAAGCTGTTATCAACTTTTTATTCTGCGGATACTAACACGGGTTTTCAGTGTTTGTTTGTTTTTATTATTATTAATTTTGTGTGATGTGAATACCCTCACCCATCAATATTTGTATTATGGTGCTATATATTTGGTAATGATCCTTTAATATTGGGGAGGGATTTTAAAAATACTGTGATTAAACTGGGTATCTTCCTTTGATTTTCATATTTTAAATAAAGCCACAGTCATTTATACAAAATAAAATAAAATAAAATAAAAATGCATCTGTCCCTGGGCAACTTTTCAAGGACAGAGGCCAAAGTAAAGTACATAAGGTTTTTACATCATTTCTGTGTGCGTTTGATATATAGATCAATATCTGGACAAATTTAATCTTTTATTTTCTGGTAACTTGTGATCATTGAGGAAGTGTTTGAAGCTTTCTCATGAAATGTACATAGCGTGAAAAATCCCTTCAGAGAAATTTATGTTCCTTTCATTTTTACCAAAATGCAAATTTTCAGCATGGATGTGAAAAGCATTAAAATTATAACTTTGTGTACAAGATGAAAATAATTCACTAAATTTGCCCTTTTTTACACAAAATAAAATGTTAAAGTTAAGCATTATTTATCAGTTTTTTTCAACATTTGTTTATCAAGGAGTGTGGGTGGATGTGCTGTGGTGCACATGTGGAGACAACTTGCAAAGGTCAGTTCTTCCATATGTGAGTCTTAGAGTGGGCCTGAGGTTGTCAAGACTCAGCAGCAAGCCCCTTTCATTGAGTGTGTGTTTCAAAGCTGATTCCTTTCACTGTGAGATCCGAGAATTAACTAGTTGGGCTTACCATATATATATACTCTGACCTCTCCCTGAGACCATATGCAATTAGGCAGTTATATAGCAAGTGGTAGAGTGGCTGTGTAGTCAGGTTAATCTAATGACCCTACCTACCTACCTTTCCATGACAAAATATAAACAATCAACAATCCTTTAGCTGAGCTCCCCAAGATGGCCATTACTTGCCTCAAGAGAGAGTCAGAATATAAAGTAAAGCAGAAGAGTACTATGAGGAATTTCCCACCGTCCAACAGGCAATAAAACACTTCTGACCTCTGTACACCAGACCACACATGTAGTCTTTAAGAGGGAGTAAAGCTTCAGGCTGGGAACTACATTAATTGCTCGCTCTTTAGCCCTTTACCTGTGTCTCTAGACTTTCTGCTCAGCAACAGAAACATAAATCTGACCTGCTTGACTTTGTTTACTGTCGCTACATTTTCACACACCCATCTTGCAGAAATATACATTTCTCTATTAGCTAATGCAGTTTGGTTGTTTATTTTCTTAAAGAGCCAATGTGACACTTTGACTCTCTCATAAGTATCTCGATCTCTAGCTTATTCTTCACAGTAAATAAGACTACTTTGTCGAATGCCATTATAATCATAGGACAAAATCACTTTTAGTTCTAGCAAATGACCACAGGACACTGCATCCAGTTCCAAAGTCTTTATTGTTTTAGAAAAGATGATCCATTCTGTGGAATGAAGAGTTGTGCCCAGGGGTCCATCAGAAATGCTGAAAAGTACCCAGAGCTCTCCATCTCTACTCATACACCCAGTCATGAGCACAAGACTTGTAGTCAATCAGTTCTTCAGGCTTAAACCATAGACTGATCTCTTTCTCTGCACTTTGCACTGAATCACTGCCGTGAATGATGTTCCTAAGAAAGAAAGCTCATTTATTATGGTGCATTACAGTGCCAGAGTTCATGTAATAGGTAGCAGCAAAGGGCAGACTCTGCGGGCCTTTTCAGTCAAAGGCCCGCCTGACACTGAATGATTACATTCCCCCAAGTATCCCAAAACCAACTGTAGGACTGAGTGCCATGAAGTCCATCAGATAGGACTGAAGAGACTGACAAATGGTTAAGAGCAGTTGCAGAGGACCCAGGTTTCAGTTCACATGGTGGCTCGCAACAATGCATAACTCAGTTCCAAAGCATCTCATACATGTAAGCAAAACACTCAGAAAAACCTTTAAATGTCACACCAAAAACAAAAGCTATAAAAGTGCCCAAATAAAAAGAGCTGAAGTTCAATTTAAAACTTCCAAGTTTTCCATTCAAGAGTATTTATAACCCAAGATTGCTACGAGTGCCAAAGAAAAGTTCCTTCTGAAAAATAGAAGCAGGCAAGCCTCCAAATCAAAAGCCAGTCCTGATTTTTTTTTCCTTGGGGGGGAGCTAGTCTCAAATTTCCTATGCAGCTAAAAATGACTGAACTTTCTGATTTTCCTGTCTCCACCTCCCAAATGTGCCAGCTTATCTAATTTACATAGGCTGGAAATTAAACTCATGGCCTCCTTCATGCCAGGCAGGCAGTCTACCAACTGAGCTACAGCCTCAGCCCTCTGCATTGTCTTTGGTTGGTTAGCTGGCTGACTGGCTAGTTAGTTGGGTTTCTGAGACAGTTTCTCTGTGTAGCCCTGGCAGTCATGGAACTCTACTTACAGACCAGACTGGCCTGGACCTCCGTGATCTGCCTGCTTCTGCCTCCCAAGTGTGGATTAAAATCATGCATTTTCTTAATTAAAGTGATTTGCAAACCAAACCATGCAATCCATGCTTATTAGTAACAATCCTTTTATTACATCTGAATCTACAAAGTTTGGGTACAAATTATGACTTAGGAAAACTCAGAGGGTTAGGTTCCACATCCATACATAAAGTACCAAATCTGGTGAGGTTAAACCCTGTTTCCCACATAGAAACTATCACATGCAACTCTCTGTACAGTGTCTCAATTACAATTTTTAAGCAGTCATTCATGAAAGTGTTTAGTGATTTTCAGGTTTTCGTGAACTTGGGGTATGCCCAAAATGTTGTATGCTCCACTTCGAGTTAAAAGTGTATTCCTCTCTCCCTCTCTCCACACACACTTACCTGCCAACTTGAATGCAAAAATCCCCTCGAATGGTGCCTGGCTTAGAATCAGCTGGATTGGTCTCTCCCAGCATCATTCGACCTGTCTTCACCACATTGAGCCCCTCCCAGACCTTGACAGAAGAAAAAAGTTACTGAGACAGACCCATTAAGGACACTGGCTTATGACATTGTGGTCGGATAACCTCAACAGAGCAAGAATTTGTGTTTTAAACTCATTTCACAAGTAGGGCATAGGAAAAGACTACTCAACTTGAGGATAAACAAGTCAGAGAGTCTGGGGAAAAGATCAATAATCAGTGAGCAGGGCCTCCCTGGGAAAGCAAGATGGCAAGTATTGCAGGGAAGAGAAGGAAAGGGCTAGCCTAGGAACTGGAAGTACTCTTAAACAATTTCAGTGTCTTTTCTTACACTCTGTGATCATCCCCAGAGGACACCAAACCACCCAGGAGACACTACACCCGCAGTGCAGGGCCAGAGAACTTTTTCACTACAGATTACATACTTTTGAAATACTTGTCTAGGGAGCTGGGCAGTGGTGGTGCACGCCTTTAATCCCAGCACTTGGGAGGCAGAGGCAGGCGAATCTTTATGAGTTGCGAGGCCAACCTGGTCTACAAGACAGGCTCCAAAGCTACAGAGAAACCCTGTCTCGAAAAAAAAAAAAATACTTGTCTAGGTCTAGGAAACATTGCAACATTGCAGTCAAAAGTACTTGGCAGACATAGCACTTCCTTGAAAGCCTACAGAGATTGCCTAAAGCTCTTTTCATATTACTTATTTGTTTGAGACAGGGTTTCTCTGTAGTCTTGGCTGTTCTGGGACTCTCTCTGTAGACCAGGCTGCCCTCCATCTCAGACCCACCTGCCTCTGCCTCCCAAGTGCTAGGATTAAAGGCCATTACCACACACCACCATTAGCTAAGTGCATACACACATGCACATGCGAATACTGGTGCCTATGGAGGCCAGAGGCGTGAGTTACAGGTGGTGTGAGCCAGCTTGTGTGGGTGCTGGTAACCTAACTCCAGTCCTTTTCAAGAGCAGCATGAGCTTTACCACTGAACTATACAGCCCAGAGTCTTTCACAAGTCTGATTTTACCCCCTCCTCCTAACTAACTCCTGACTATGTATAACCCCAGTACTCTAGGCAGAGTTCTAGGTGAGTCTGGGCCACACAGAGGACAGAGTAATCCCGTTAGTCCCTCACACTCACCATGGCCACCACAGGCCCCGAGTTCATGTACTTCACCAGCCCTGGGAAGAAAGGACGGTCTTTCAGGTCAATGTAATGCTGCTTCAGGTGTTCCTCAGAAGCCTGGCAGATAAAGGGTTTCATCAGGGAACAAACTGGAAAGACTTAAATATGACTATCCCACCCAGTGGGTAGGGGTGGGCACTCCCATGGCAAGTTCTTAATTTCAGGTTTGGTTGGTATTTTAGTACATTCAGAAGGATCCATGCTATGAAACTGACACCATTATGGCAGAAAAAAAAAAACTATTCTGACCATAAAGATACCCTTGAGCTGGGAATGCAGCTCAGTGATAGAGTGCTTGCCTAGCTTGCCTAGCATGTGAAAGACTTTGTGTTCACTCTTCCACACCAGTTTTTAAAAGGAGGATGACTCTATGGGAACGCATGTGAGGAAAAAGTGCAGGCTAGTAGACCTGAGTCTGAATTTCCCAGAGACAAGAGATAAAGACAGGAGTTGCCCTGGAAGCTCATTGGCCATCTCACTGGAATATGCAGCAATGAGCAAGAGCCAACAAGATGGTCCAACACACCATGCACAAGACAAAAAAAGCAGGTGTTTACATGAGCTGTGCATGATAGCTCATGCCTATCTGTAATCCTAGACTGTGGCAGGGGAATCATAAGTTCAAAGCCAGCCTGAGATAGAGATCTTGTCTTAAAAAATTAAAAGACTTAGCCAGGCGGTGGTGGTGCACACCTTTAATCCCAGCACTTGGGAGATAGAGGCAGGCAGATCTGTGAGTTCCAGGAAAGCCAGGACTACACAGACGCTCTTGTATTGTCAGTGATGTTAAGGATATAGAACACTAACAAGTGGTTTGAGGCAAGATTTAGAATGTGAAGTGTTTGCTCAATGTGCCAGATAACAGATAACTTCAGGTTCCCCTCCTCAAGTGATTCTAAACATTTCAGATAAGAACAAACTTTTAAGTGTTTTGCCTGCATTTTTGCCTGTCCTAGAAGGCCAGAAGATACCGGGTCCCCTGGAACTGGTTAGAAATGTTTGTGAGCCACCATGCAGTGCTGGGAACAGCTCTCCAACCCCAAGCAATCTTTATTTTGTTTTTGGAGACAGGTTCTGTGTAGTCCTGATTAGCCTAGAACTTGCTGTATAGTTTAGGCTGTCCTCAAACTCAGAGATCTGCCTGCCTATGCTCCTGAGAGGTTTTCCTAATTATGTGTATGGGTGTTTTGCCTGAATGAGTATCTTTCCATCGTTTGCATGCCTCATGCCCACTGAGGCCAGAAGAGGGTGTCAGATCCCTTGAAACTGAAGTTTCAGTTCTTAGCTGCCGTGTGCGTGATGGAAATTAAACCCGTCCTCCAGAAGAATAAAGTATTTTAACCTCTGAGCCTTCTCCCCAGTCCCAAGAACTAAATTGATGTCCTTTATTAAATTTCAGTAGATATTTATTAAAAGTAATCTTTTAGCTGAGCGCTTCCTTTATCCCAGCATTTGGGAGGCATAGATGGGAGGGGGGGGGATCTCTGAGTTCAAGGTCAACCTGGTGTACAGAGTTAGTCCCAGAATAGCTAGGACTATATAGAGAAACCTTGCCCCATGGAGGAAAAAAAAGTGACTATTTTTTTCTTTTTTAGACCGAGTCTCAGGCCCTTAAACTCCAGATGTTAGACAAGGGTGACCGTGAACAACTGAACCTCTTGTCTCCACTTTTCGAGTGCCGAGATTACGTAGTGCCACCACACCCTACTGTTTATGCGGGACTGGGGATGCATCTCATACTAGGCACTATACCAAATGTGAACTACACCTTCAGCTGGTGGCCACATACATGAAAAATAGTTACTATCCCACTCCAAGGAGGGATGCAGCCTTAACACCTCCGTGATCCCTAAGTTTCCGCTAAAGCACCAAAGGATTGAAGAACCCCACCCACCCATTCCATATATTGTGGACCCCAGGCTGACTCCACCCCTTGACGCCCCAAGAGTGGAGGCCCTTTGCAAGGCAGCTAGGACCTGGGCAGGACCAGGACACACAGCGGGAGTAAAGCCAAGCCAGAGTCACGTTACCTCCGCTTAACCTTCCCAAGGGCGTCTGTCCTCCCCAGCCTGGGAAAGGGCTAGCGGGTCACTACCGACTACTAGGGGGCGAAGGTGAAGCGAAATCAGCCACGAAGCCTGAGTCCAATTCCAAAAGGCAACGGGGATAAACCACTGGAGGGAGGGCAAAACACACGGGACCCAACAACAAAGGGGTAGGGAGTGAGGGGTACGTTACCCGAAGGAACTTCATGGCCACCAGGCGGAACCCCTTCTGCTCGAAGCGCTTGATGATCTCGCCCACCAGGCCGCGCTGCACGCCATCTGGCTTGATGGCAATGAAGGTACGCTCGAGGTTGGCCATGGTCCTGCCAGGGCAAGAAATGCAGTCGATGAGACCGGGCCGAAGCAAGCCGGCCCGGGAGGCCACGTGGGCTCCCGGCACCTCCGCCGCTGAGGACACGTGGCTTTCCAGATACTTCTTCCCCACCCGAGAGGCCCAGGAAGGGGACCGTGGTAGCCAAAGTTGGGGCGATGTTAGGGTGGAGAGTGTATCCCAGCCTTACCGAAAGTTAGTTGGCTGGACGGCCGGTGTGGGCGATGAGCGATGGGAGGAAAGAGCAGAGGGGACCACCAGGCCGGCGCGGGGCAAGGAAGGAGGGGTGCAGGGCGGGACGAGGAACGTCACACCCCGGAGGACCGGCTGCCCAACCCGGGAAGTCCTGCCGGTCCGATCTGCCAGTCGTCTCTGTCCCCGCCCAGCGGCCCGCGGTGCATTCCCTCGCCTTGCAAGGCTAGTGAGGACTGAGAGGCAGGAAGTGATTTGTTCCCCCACCCAGGTCGACCTGCACTTTGCTTACTACAGGCTCCAACACCAGGGACCTGCTACTGGTCCTAAATTCTGTCTTCCTGGGGACGTTTGCTTTCAGCCTTCCCTGCGGCACCAACGCCCAGCTAAACCCTCCCTGCCCTAGGGGGGCAAATTCTTTCCACCTTTGATTCAGTCCTCTCTCTCTCTCTCTCTCTCTCTCTCTCTCTCTCTCTCTCTCTCTCGGCTTGAGTTTTTAGTCTTTCTCATCCAAAATAACATCTTCCCTAGGAGCCAAGTCTGTCCTCAGTCCCCTCGTCAGAAGGCCGTCTGTTCAAGCCTCTGTCTCAGAATGACTTTCCAGTTCCTAAGACAACCCATTTTGACACCAGGATCTGCTGTCTGTCTCCCCACCTACCTTTCCAGCTTCCATCAGCCACCCTGTTCCCAACCAGAGGACTGGGATCGCTGCCCACCCAGCTCTTCTGGCAAGTGTCTAGAGTTTCCAAAAGTTGACAGCCTACCGGTACTTCAGAGACAATTCAAGGCCAGCCTGGTAAGTTTAGTACACTGTACTCATCTCAAAATAAAAGAAGCAAAGCCAGGTGTGATAACTGACAGATGCCTGTAACGCTAGCAGTTGCAGGAGGGAGGCAGGAGGATCAGGAGTTCAAAGTCAGCCTGGTCTATGTTTCAAAATATACAATATGAGGTGTTGGAGGGAGAGCTCAGCAGTTAAGAGCACTTGCTGCTCTTTCAGAGGACCAGAGTTCAGTTCCCAACTTGGACACACTTAGGTAACTCAATACTGTAACTCCAGTTTCAGGGGATCTGATGCCTCTCATCTCAGGAACAAGTGCCCCCGTGCACATACCCAAATGCAACACACACACCTGCACATAATTAAGAAAACAAAAAAGCCAGACATGGTGCCAAATGCTTTCATGGTCTGGTCTACAAAGTGAGTTCCATGCCAACTAGAACTGTTACACAGAGAAACCTTGCCTTGAAAAACCAAAAAATAAGAAATAATTTTTTTAGCTAGGCAGTAGTGTCATACGCCTTTAATACCAGCACTTGGGGGGCAGAGGAAAGTGGATCTCTGAGTTTGAGCCCAGCCTGGTCTTCTGAGTGAGTTCCAAAACAGCCTGGGCTACACAGAGAAACCCTGCCTTGGAAAACCAAAATAACAAATGGACAAATCTTTGAGAAATACATACGTAATGAGGGGCTAGAGGCGGAGTTCCTTTATTGTTTACCTAGCATACACAGGTCCTGGGTTGACCCTTGGCACCACATAAACTGGGTATGGTGCTACTTCCTTGGCTACTTTGGTATTAGAGACCAGGTGGACTACACGAGGATGAGGAGGCCTGAAGATTGAGCTCTGTGGTAGGCCCAGTTGTGTGGCATGCACACAGCCTTAGGACCAACCTCCAGTATTCCGAACAGAGTCTATATTCTGAGAAGCCAGGCCAATCGACTTGCAGACATTCCTTACCTCCTGTTTTCTTTGCAAACTACCAGTACTCTAAATGTCCCCACCCCAATGTCCTGTCCCCATCTGCTTCATTTCTGTGCCCAGACCTAAAAAAATAAATCAATAAATAATTTTTTTAAAAAGATACAGTGCCTTGAGCACTCTATGAACCATCTGCCTCTTCTCCCAGAGGCTTAGAGCTTGAGTTGGGGCCATGAACATCTGCGGTAAAAGGCTTAGGTTGTTGCCCCAAACACTGAGACTGGCCTCCAGATGACTCAAAATGTCTAAAACCTTCCTCCAGCTCCATCCCATCACCTCTGGCTAAAGACCTGCTCAGATTGCATATCTCTTTGCTCTCTGTCCATTAAGATGAGCAATTATACTCTAAATTCCCTTCATACAGACTTTGCACTGGGCACCTCGCCTACATTTTCCTTTTTTTATTCCCGTCAAGCACTATGGTTTGGAATGACTTCAGCCCTGGTTTAATATAGAGGATATACCCTGCTTTAATGGTGCCCCGCTTCTCGGAAGGAACCAGCTAGCCCTTCTCTCATGTTCTCTATAGCATCAATACAACAGCGCTCACTACCTGAGATGGGATGTGAGGAGTCTGCTGGCCTCAAGGCTGATCACCTGCAACTAATCAGGTGGCTAACTGAACATCCTACCTCATCACCATCCCAAACCTCAGTTAACACTGGTGATGACTGGCACCAGCCCTCATTCTAGAGCTATTTCCTTCATTCTTAGTCTGAAGCACACTCTAGTTTGTTCATTAAAAAAACAAACAAACAAAAATAAACCACTCTATCTGCCTGGTTGGTCTGCTAGTTAGTTTTCTGAGATAGTCTCACTGCATAGTCCTGGCTGAACTACACTTGTCTGACCTCAGACTCGCTGCAATCTTCCTGCCTCTTTCTCCTAAATGCTAGGATTACAAGCATGTACCACCATACTCTGGTTTTAGAGTTACCAAATGTCAACAGTTCTGACAATCTGGAAATTTCACTGGATGTTATCTGTTATGGAATGTTATTGTTAAGATGTGTTGCCAAGCAGTAGTTTAATCCCACCTTTAATCCCAGCACTGAGAAGGCAGAGACAGGCAGATCTCTGTGAATTCAAGGACAGCCTGGTCTACACAGATAAATCATGTCTAGAAAAAAATATATATGTTACATTCATTTATACTATGGAACATTTGTTGCATTCTTTTCTGTTACATTTCAACTCTGTGAAGCTGTGTTACTTTGCCTGCCTAGAACACCTGATTGGTTTGATTAAGAGCTGAATGGCCAATAGCTAGGCAGAAGAGGAAGGGCAGGGTTGCCAGGCAGAGAGATTAGGAGGAGAAATAGAAATGTAGTAGATCTAGGAGCAAGAGAAGGAAGAGGACTGGAAAGGCCAGGCACCCAGCTACACAGCAAAACAAGGAGTAAGAAGTAAAGAAAGGCATATAGGAATGGAGAAGGTAAAAGCCCAGAGGCAAAAGAAAGATAGCATAATTTAAGAAAAGCTGGCAAGAAACAAGCCAAGCAAAGGCCAGAGATTTTTAAGAATAAGCCTCTGTGTGACTTATTTGGGTGCTTGGTGGTGCCCCGCCCCCAAAAGAGCCAAAGAATAAAAAACAATCAACTTTAAGATCTGTCCAGTAAAGAGCCATTTACCCCAATTCAGGACACATACCTCCCCTACCCTACAGTAATAGTCACTACCACTTCCTATGACAACTGATGGTCCTAGGTCTACAAAAGACAAGGCTTTTCTTTTTTATTGATATTTATTGAGCTCTACATTTTTCTCTGCTCCCCTTCCTGCCTCTCCCCTCCCCCCTTTAATCTTTCCCCAAGGTCCCCATGCTCCCAATTTACTCAAGAGATCTTGTCTTTTTCTACTTTCTACTTCCCATGTAGATTATATCTATGTGAGTCTTAGTGTCCACATTGTTGTCTAAATTCTCTGGGATTGTGGTTTGTAGGCTGGCTTTCCTTGCTTTATGTTTAAAAACCACCTATGAATGAGTACATGTGATAAGTGTCTTTCTGTCTGGGTTGCCTCACTCAAAATGTTTTCTAGCTCCATCCATTTTCCTGCAAAATTCAAGCTGTCATTATTTTTTTCGGTTGTGTAGTACTCCATTGTGTAAATGTACCACATTTTTCTTATCCATTCTTCGGTCGAGGGGCATTTAGGTTGCTTTCAGGTTCCGGTTATGAAAAACAAAGTTGCTATGAACATAGGTGAACACATGTCCTTGTGGCACGACTGAGCATCCTTTGGATATATACCCAAAAGTAGTATTGCTGGGTCTTGAGGAAGGTTGTTTCCTAATTTTCTGAGAAATCGCCACACTGACATTCAAAGGGGTTGTACCAGCTTGCATTCCCCACAACCTCTCCAGCATAAGTTGTCATCAGTGTTTTTGATTTTGGCCACTGACAAGGCTTTTCTTCTTGTGGGTGGCTACAACTTCCCACAGTTTCTTTTGTTGTTGTTTTTGTTTGTTTTTTTCAAGACCAGGTTTCTCTGTAGCTTTGGAGCCTGTCCTGAAACTTCCTCTGTAGACCAGGTTGGCCTTGAACTCACAGAGATCTGCCTGCCTCTACCTCTCAAGTACTGGTACTAAAGACCTGGGCCACCACCACACCCAGCTACAATTCCCCATTTCTTCTGAGAGCTCTTGAACAAGATGGGCATCTTTCACTTTTTTTTTTTTTAAGATAAGTTCTTATATAGCCCAAGCTGGCCTCAAACTATAAAGCTGAGGATGACTTTGAACTTCCAATCTCATCTCCTGAGTGCTGGGATTACAGTGTCACCATGTCCAGTTATGTAGTGATGGATAGAACCCAAGGCTTCATTAATGTCAGGCAATCACTCTACCAACCAAGCTATATCCCAGTCTGGGGAGGGAGTGGTTCCCGTTTTTGTTTTGTTTTGTTTTTTGTTTTGTTTTTCAAGAGAGGGTTTCTCTGTAGACCAGGCTGGCCTCGAACTCACAGAGATCTGCCTGCCTCTGCCTCCCAAGTGCTGGGATTAAAAGCATGCGCTACCACCGCCTGGCCCGTTTTGATTTTTTTAAGACAGGGTCTCCACTGTGTAGAGGAGGCTGACCTTGAACTCAAAGATCCAAGTGCCTCTTCCTCCTGGAGTGCTGGATTTATAAGGCCTGCTCCACCATACTAAGCTGTTTGGTTTTGTTTTGACAAAGTTTCACTATGTAGTCCAGACTGGTCTATAACTCATAATCCTCCTGCCTCTGTTCCTGAGTAATGAATGGGATTACAGGTCTGAGTCAACATGCTTGAGTTTGCATTTTTTTTCTTTTTATTTGTTTTGTTTGTTGGTTTTTTGGGGGGACAGGTGTTAAGTTGGGAGTGTAGCCCCCAGCCCCTGGCATCCACCCCAGCCAACCTGGCCTGGAAGTTGCATTGCTCTGGACTCCAAATCCCAGCATGCCAAGTCTTGACCCCTCCCCAGGGGAGGGTCAGGACCACTCCCATAGGGTATTTAAGTGGGCTCCCAGAGGAGAAGCATGTGGTTTTTGGGTCTGTATGAGCTCCCTGCTTTCCTGTCTCCTGTCAGGCACTCGGCCAAGTGTCTTACTTGATAAAATGATGGGCATTTTGATTTGGTTTGATTTGACCTAATTGGATTTCTTGTGCCAACAGAGCTGCCCTCTTTTTATTATTTTTTTCTTAATGACAGGGTTTCTCTGTGTAGCTCTGGCTGTCCTGGAATTAGCCCTGTAGACCAGGCTGACCTTGAACTCAGAGATCCAGCTGCCTCTGTCTCCCAAATGTTGGGATTACAGGCCTGAGCCAACATGTTTGAGTTGGCATCTTTATTTCTCATGCATCCTCTGTTCCCAGCAGTTTAACAACCTTGCCCATCCTCCACAGATCTTGCTGACTGGTTCACTGCCAAGAGTGAATAAGAATGCAGGGCATGAGAAGAAAGATAGGCAAAGAAATGCCTGTGTATCCCAGGGTGGTGGCTCAAACCTCAAGGACAACCACAAGAGTCTCTGTGTTTATGTGAGGCCAATATAAGTAATTTGCATACCATTTACATTCTGTCAGTTCAGGTTATCCAGGATCCTGAGGAGGAAGGAAGGCGTGCAAAGTAACTAGCTGACCCAATACTGGAGATGAAACACTTTAATCTACCAGTGGCACGTAACACTGCACAGGGAGTCACAGCTCCCAGAGGTTCCTTCCAGGTCAAAGGAAGTTCCAGAAATATTTAGATGCTGGTCCCTTGCCTGTGAGATCAGGGTAAGTAGAGGAGAAGGGCAGGTGCCCTCCTGTCACTCATAGATCCAGTTTTGTGCACAGCTCTTGTAATCCACCAGCTCCTCAGGCTGAAACCACAAGCTGATCTCCTTCTCTGCGCTCTCCACAGAATCGCTGCCGTGAATGATGTTCCTGGGTGGAGAGAGAGATAGCATCATTACCAAAACCAAAAGGATGACCCTGCCCACAGCCCCCTGCTGAGAACCGAAAGCTAACAGAAGTCAGAGTCCCTAGTACTTCATCCAAAGAATGCCCTCCCCCAGAAGCACTGCCAGATGCAAACTTCAGGAAAACTCTGACCAGGTTCTACAATCAAGAAAGGCATAGGAGGCCAGGCAGTGGTGGCACACGTCTTTAATCCCAGCACTTGGGAAGCAGAAACATGAGGATCTCTTGAGTTCAAGGCCAGCCTGTTCTACAGATAAAGTTTCAAGACAAAACAGCCAGGACTACACAGAGAAATCTTGGGGGGACAAAGAAGATGATCAGAAAGACGAAGGAAGGAAGAAAGGAAGGAAGGAAGGAAGGAAGGAAGGAAGGAAGGAAGGAAGGAAGGAAGGGAGGAAGGGAGGAAGGTAGGTCAGGAATTCAAGAACAGCAATTTTGAGGCTAGCTAGCATACTTGAGACATTGTTTCAAAATACAACTAAACTTGCCTGGCATGGTGGTTCACGCCTTTAATCCTAGTACTTGGGAGGCAGAAGCAGGCAGATCTCTGTGAGTTCAAGGCTAGCATGGTCTACAAAGCGAGTTCTTGGACAGCCAAGGCTACACAGAGAAACCCTGTCTCAAAAAAAAATAAAATAAAATAAAAGCAAAAAAAAAAAAAACAAAACAAAACCTAAGCTAGGGGTGGAAGAGAGGAAGAGATGGCTCAGTTGATAAAAGCACTGGCTAGTCCTCCAGAGGACCTGGGTTTAGTTCCTACCATCCACATGGGGCTCAAAGCTATCTGTAACTCCAGTTCCAGAGGGTCCAATGCCCTCTTCTAGCCTCCTTGGGCACCAAGAAATGAAAGCAGTACACAGACATACAGGCAGGAAAACTATCCATATACATAAAGAAAAAGTAAAGAGTAAAAATGAACTTTAAAAGATAAAATAAATAGGAGGCTGGAGAGATGGCTCTGTGGTTAGGAGCACTGGCTGCTCTTCCAGTGGTCCCGAATTCATTTCCCAGCAACAATATGGTGGTTCACAACCATCTATAGTGAGATCTGGTGCCCTCTTCTGGCATGCAGGCGTACATGTAAGCAGAACACTGTTTATGTAATAAATAAATCTTTAAAATAAAAGAAGTTGACCCACAGATGGTATTATGTTCATTTCTAGCCTTAGAGGCCCAAACACTTGTGGCAACTAACATGGACTTTGGAAAGGGTAAAAAACACCAATTCTTACCTGCCAACTTGGATGCAAAAGTCTCCTCGAATGGTTCCGGGTTTAGAGTCCGCAGGGTTGGTCTCTCCAAGCATCACTCGGCCTGTCTTCACAACATTCAGCCCCTCCCAGACCTCCAAGGAGAAAACAATACATGGTCAAGGAAGAAAAAAAAACACTCAGTAGAAAACCCAGCATCTGATGACTCAAAATAAAAGAAAAAGACTCCAGAATAGGGCCCTCTCATTCACTAACAGAATGCCTGTATGTTCCAGTACTAGGGATGCTTGCCACCCTTCATCTGGACTCTTATCCTCCCCAGATCCATTCACAGGGCAGTCAGTGGCCTTTTTAAATGCTAAATATTGCCACTCCAGAGGTAGAGGAAGGTAGATGGATCTCTGTAAAGTCAGCCTGTTGTTCTACATAAAGAGTTCCAGGATACAGTCATGGCTACATAGAAAGACTCTGTGCTGGAGACCCCAAGATGTTGGAGATGCCAGAGTCTCCGAAGGCCCAGAGTTCAATTTCTAGCAACCACATGGTGGCTCACAACCATTTATAGTGAGATTTGGTGCCCTTTTTTGGCCTACAGACATACATGCAGGCAGAATACTACATACACTGAAATTATAAGCAAGGCCCCAATTAAATGCTTTCCTTTATTAGAGTTGCTGTGGTCAGTGTCTCTTCACAGCCATAAAACACTGACAGATCCTGTCCCAAAAAAACAAAATAAGTAAATAAAATGCTAAATATGGTGCCTCCCATAACTTCCCAGTACTGGTGAGACCTAACAGCATCGCTGTGACGTGGTGTGCACTTCTCATCCTATCTTCCTTCTTACCACCATCCATCCCAACCTCCTTTCTGTACTTTGAAAAGTAATGTTGTATCTGGTGTGGTGATGCATGCCTGTAATCCCAGTACACTGAGTAGGAGACTCAAAAGCTCCAAGACAGCCTGGACTATTTGAGGCTAGCCTGAGCTATACAGTGAAATATAGGTCACAAGTCTGGGTTACAGGGGCTGGAGAGATGGCTCAGAGGTTAAGAGCATTGCCTGTTCTTCCAGAGGCCCTGAGTTCAATTCCCAGCAACCACATAGTGGCTCAAACCATCTGTAAAGTGGTCTGGTGCCCTCTTCTGGCCTGCAGGCATACACACAGGCAGAATATTGTACATATAATAAATAAATAAATATTTAAAAAAAAAAAACAAGTCTGGGTTACAGATTAAAACCCTGTCTCAATAAGTCATTTTCAGAAAGAAAGAATGAAAACATACTATTTTGTCTTGCAGCTGTATCTAAAGAGTTTAGGAAGGTGCTTGGCATAACTATAGCAAGCTCATTCCTGAAACTATTTGTGGTACTGTTAATAAACTAAGCTCTCTCTGTTCCATGGGAATGCAGTCAAGCAGATCTCTCCTGATTTCTTCCAGTCTTGTGTCATGGAAAGCAAATGTACACTTTCTTTGGTGGGTCAGAGAGTCAACTTTCATCCCACTAGCCTGTTTCTTCTGCAACAAAGAGGGTCTGGTGCCCAACACAGGAAATGCAACACTCACTCTGCTCTACACCCAAATGAGTCACTCCCATCAACATCCCACACGGACACACTCACCATAGCAACCACTGGTCCTGAGTGCATGTATTTCACGAGGCCAGTAAAGAAGGGACGGTCCTTCAGGTCGATGTAGTGCTCCTTGAGAAGGTCCTCTGAAGCCTGTCACAGGACAGACAGTGAGAACTAGCCCCAGGCCCTTAAGAATCAGTAGGTTAGTCGCTTCCCTCATTCCTCCTGATGGTGGAAACATGAGCTCAAAGCTAGAGGATCAGTTATAACAAGATTTCATCCTCTACCTCAGTAACGGGGAGAAGCGACAAAGCTGCACAGAGAAACCCTGTCTTGAAAAAACCAAAAAAAAAAGAAAAAAAGAAAAAAGGGAAAAAAAGAACCCACTATTAAAAGTAACAGTACAATGACTTTCTGTTCCCAGAAAACACTTCAAGTAAAATGTTAGATGGAAACATGAAAGGTAGTCTCTGTATTAGATGAGCTTTAAACTGACCATGGCCATCTCCAGAGGCACCTGACATTTATTCAAGGGATAAAAGTCCAATGCAGTGACCATGTAATTAATTTCCAGAGGGACCTAAACTATCTAAAAGTACATGACATATAGCAATAAATAATTTTGCTAATAGAGAGATGGCTCCGTAGTTAAAAGCATTGGCTATTCATCATGAGGCCGGCCCAGGTTCAACTCCCAGCATCCACATGGCAGTTTACAACCATCTTCAACCAGTTCTGAGGGTTCAATGCCTTCTGACCTCACAGGCACCAGGGACAAAAGTGGTGCACAAACATACGTGCAAGCAAAACACCCATATACATTAAAGGGTTTACATTTAAAACAAACAACAACAACAACAACAAAACCACATAGAATGAATTAGAGTAGGGTATGGTATCGCCCATCTATAATTCTACCACTCAGAAGTCAGAGGCAGGAAGATCAAAGAATTCAAAGCCATCCTTAGCTGCACAGTGAATTTGAGGCCAGCCTTGGAAACCTAAGACCCTATCTCAGCAAGGAGGGTTGAGGGAATGGGACGGAACAAAAGAGAGGAGAAAAGCAAAGAGAAAGAAGAGAATTAGAGTCCGGTGGTGGTGGTGCACTCCTTTAATCCCAGAATTCAGGAGGCAGAGGCAAGGTGGATCTCTGTGAATTCGAGGTCAGCCTTATCTACAGAGCTAGTTCCAGGACAGGTTCCAACGCTACAAAGAAACCCTGTGTCAAAAAAATCAAAGAGAGACAGACAGACAGACAGAGAGAGAGAGAGAGAGAGAGAGAGAGAGAGAGAGCGCTAGAACACACACATGCAAGACTGATATGTGGGAACAAATCAAGTTAGCTACAGAGCAAACCATCTTCACGTACCCTAGCTGGGCACTCTGTTTGCAGCTACGCAGCCTTGCAATGGTACAGCAGTTCCCCTTGATTTTCACATTTCTGCACAACTACATACGTCATACAAAGCATATTGGCACTTTAGGGGTACACAGGATTAGCTGCCAAAAAGTACATTCAGAATGTCCTATCCTTCAGCCCCTGGTTGGTCATCACTTGCCAAAGCCAAGCTTTATCAAACAGGGATGCAGTCTGAGCCTGCCCATTCTAATGGCACGCTGGTAGAAGTACCAGCAGACTGGGCTTTCCTCCTTTCCCACCACACTCCATTCTGTTCACTGATTCCAATCATCTTTACCCAGGAAAACTGACCATAAATCTCAGCACTCAGGAGGCAGAGGCAAGTGGATCTCTATGAGTTCAAGGCCAGCCTCATCTACAGAGTGAACTAGTGAGTGCCAAGACAGCCAGGACTACACAGAGAAACCCTGTCTTGGAAAAAAGGACAAAATTAGTGGCTGGAGAGACGGCTCAGTGGTTAAGAACACTTGCTGCTTTTGCAGAGGACCTGAGTTTGGTTCTTGCACCATTCAGGTGGGCCATAAGAATTTATAACTCCAGTTCCAGGGCTATACAGTCTCAGAAACAACAGCAAAATAATAGTAATAAAACAAAAACTCAACATTGAAAACTCAAACTCAAAATACACTAGGAGCCAAAATTTGGAATTCACATCTTATAGATTTGTTTGAAGAGTTCTTGGGCGATCAATCCTTGGTATTAATTAAAATATTGTTATCTGGGTGATTCATGCACATAATCCCAGGACTCAGGATGCTGAGAAAGGAGGATCACCAAGAGTTCCAGAACAGTTATGGAAAATATATATATATATATATATATATAGAGAGAGAGAGAGAGAGAGAGAGAGAGAGAGAGAGAGAGAGCGCAAATACATATATGTGTCATGGGAGTTTTAGAATTATTTCTTTTCTCTGTTTTATCAGGAGTGCCTCTCGAGCAAGACTGCAGTTTTCCCCCACAAAGCCCCATGCACCATGTCTGACTCATATTCAGTATCTATCAGGTATAATTAGTGAAGCAAAGATTCTTCCTGACAACCTACCTCAAGGAGGGTAAGGGCTGAAGAAACGTCTCTAAAATTACTGGCTTAGGAAGCTAGAGACCAAAAGCTCCAAAATATCTAGAGCTGAGTCAGAAATTATAGCTCTGCAGAAATATGTCTACATTGCTAGGGGGAAAAGACAGACTGTTTTTGAAAGCCCCAAATGACTTGGTTTGTTCCAAGATTCAACTAACATGCTTAATCACTGAGAGGTTTTCGGATTCTAAGACACCCTACCATGGAGATGTCTAGACAGAAAACAAGGCAAACACAGAAGCTATTCTGCAGCATTCTGCTTGTGCTCCAAAGAATCAAAATAGGAAGTGTGAGATCCACTCACCTGCATGAATTTCAGACCAACAAGGCGGAACCCCTTCTGTTCAAAACGTTTGATGATCTCTCCCACAAGCCCCCGCTGGACCCCATCAGGCTTGATGGCAATGAAGGTGCGTTCACTGTTGGCCATGGTCCTGGAGAGAGGCAAGCAGGGTAATGAAACAGGACTGACTCTCTATCCTCATCATGATCCTTCTCAAGCGGATTACTCTCCCATAAAACTGGCTTTACTATATTATGTCTACCCCAAGTCTCTCTAGTAAAATCCCAGTCCCTGCCCAGTTCACTCAGCAATGAATTATGATCCTGAAGTAGCAAAGGGCTCAAAGGCTGGAACTATAATCTCAATTCCACTTGATTTCATAAACTCCAATTGACCTTCTACTGAGTAATTAATACTGCAATGGAACTAAAAAAGGAGATGCAAACCTAAGACCCACACATTAAAAAGACACCACTTTTTTTCAGTAACACCAGTTAGGGAAAACCGCATAGATATGGTTTTCCTAGTGAAAGTTACAGCTGGTACAAGACAGTGCGAGCTACAGCATTAGAACGCTATGTCATGGCAACCATCTTTGTTTCACAAAGAATGAGCTTGCCCAGCCCTATGCAATTTGGGATACACCTTAGGATGTAATGAGAAAAACCAAGTCTGAGAATGCATGCCAGTAAACCCACCACCAGGAAGGCTAAAGCAAAAAGGACAGAGGATTCCAGGCTCTCCTGGGGGGAGAGGGGGGAAGGAGGAGGAGAAGGAAGGAAAAGAGAAAGAGGAAGAAGAAGATGATGATAGAGCTGATAGTGAGCTAGATGTGGTTCATGTCAGTGGTCCCAACCTGAACTAAGCTACATAAGAAATGCAATGACTATGCTCCATCATGGATGGGGAGGCACGCATGAGGCCCACAGCCTTACCCCTGCCTGGGGAGCTACTGCTGATTAATGGTTGTGGGTGTGTGGGTATCATTTTCTTCATTGGTGCAGCCAAGAGCAAACTGTCCATGGTTCAGCAAATAATTCCTCCATCCACAAAGCAAGTAGCTCTAACTCACTCTCTCTCACTCTTACACACATACACACACAAGAAAAAGGAGTTCAGCAGGAGAGCTGAAGAGTATAATGGGGGGACGGCTAGTACACACATGCACAAAGTTGTCAGAGAATAAAAGAACAAAAAAATTGAAAGTCCATTATGTAAGAATAGCAATTAGCATTTATTAAACCATGCATTAGGGGAAAAGTGTGACAAGTATTGTGACTAGCCACAGCACAATACCTGACACGGGACATTGTCACTGGAGGAAGACACCTGGAGAGCATCCGTTCCAGAACTTTCCTTTTCCAGGGAACACAATCACATAAGATGAAAGGAGACTCACCTTGAAAGACAATACCTAAGAGGTATTGAAAGACAACACTAGCTCCTGGCTCTGCCTTGGTGAACTTGAGTTAACCTTTAATTTTATACCTTAAGAATGGGGCCTGAGCCAGCTAGATGGTTCAGAGAGTGAAGGTTTTTGTATCACAAGCCTGAGTCTGGGCCCAAACCCACTCCACAAAGTTGTCTTCTGGTGTCCACATGGATGCTAAGGCATGCATGCACAAGAACACACAAATAATAAATACATGATCTTTTAATGATCACCGCTTTTGATGCTGTCCTCCCCTCTCCCGCCTCCACGGTCTGGGATCTGCACAAAGAGTTGATCTATTCCAGCCCCTATCTTTGATACCAAACCATAGGGCGTTGCAGTCAACAGGAGCAAAGAGAATGTCTCAAATATTCAGTTATGCCTTCCAAAGAAGAGACAGAATCCAAAGACTAGCTGGAGAATCCCTGAAGGAAATGTGGAGCAAGCACAGATTCCTCAGAAATGGCCTACCGTGTCAGAAACAGCCCCTATGAAAGGCTCTGCACACCGACTGATCACACACACACACACACACACACACACACACACACACACACACACACACACACTCACTCATTCATTCGGCAAGCACTGTGGGAGCTCCAGCTCTGTGCTCAACACCGGACTGGAAGGAGAATAAGACACAGTCCTGCTGGCGCAGTCTGACAGGAACTGCGGCCACAGACAAAGGGGAGCACACACGTGGTATGTCAGGCTGACAGGTCTGCACCTGCCCACAGCCTAGCCCGCGATCTTCTTCTTCAGCGCCTCGCAGAGAATGCACCCTTCCCTTTATTTAACACCCACCTCGCTCTCCGCCCTCCTAGGCCCTCGACCCGTCCCCCTTCTCTCAGCACCCGAATCACTCTCACCCCTTCAGAAGTCAGGTCTCTCACTCCTGCTGAGACTGCCCGCACCGGAAACGCTCCCCGAACTCACGTGGTTCCCAGCAGCTGCTCGCGCGGAACTTTTCGGTGCAGTTTCGATTCCGGAGAACCCTTTTGGCAGAACACCGCCAAGCCCCGCTTCCTCTGGTGAGTAGGACGTCATCCTAGGGAGCACTCTTCCAGTGTTTAACTTCCTTCCGACACTGGGTGTGGTTTTTGTTTTTGTTACCCTCCCACCCCCCACCGCTGGCGGCCATGTTTTGTTCCTGTCCTGCTGTCGTGTGACTCACTTCCTCCCGAGAAAATTTGGTTTCCCGGGAGGTGGCGCTCACACTGCATGAAGTCCAAACTCTAGCCCCCGTAGGACGGTCACTCTAGCTCCTCTTCGACCTGTCAAGCAACAAATATACTAAATATTATGTGCCCATTCTAGAACCTAAAGATAAAGCAGTGAGCTCACTTGAGGCTTCTGGTAGGGTTGAGAATTGGGACAAACAATAAAAAGAAATTGATAGTGAATACACGGTGTTACGTAAGAACTGTGAAGAAAGAACAGGGCAGAGGGGAAAAAGGCTGAGCAATCTCTGCAGAATGATAATCAGATAGAGCTACATGACGTTTACTTATAAAGGAACAAACCTATTATTACCAGAGAGCTGAGAATTACAGTGAGTACTGAGTGGTAGGAAACGCAGTAGGAGAATTTTGTTGTTGTCATGGGAGGATTTTTTTTTTTGAGGGAGGGTCTTACTGTGTATACCAGGCTGGCCTCCAACTCACAGATATCCACCTGCCTCTGCTTCCTGAGTGCTGGGATTAAAGGCGTCACATCGGGCATTATTATTAATCATTATTTATGAATTCATTTGTATGTCAATGTATGAAGTGGTCAAAGGGTGTGATAGTTTGAATGTAGTTGGCTCCCATAAGCTCCTAGAGAATGGCACTATTAGGAGGTATGACTTTGTTGGAGTGGGTATGGTCTTGTTAGACAAAGTGTGGAGGCAGGTTTTAAGGTTTCCTATGCTCAGGATACCACCTAATGTCTCAGTCAACTTCCTGTTGCCTTCTGATCAAGATGTGGCCAGCATCATGCCTGCCTTTACATCACCACGCTTCCTACCTTAATGATAATGGACTGAACCTCAGAACTGTAAGCACCACCTTAAAAAGAGTGCTGTGGTCATGGTGTTTCTTCATTGCAACAGAGACCCTAAGATAGAGAGAAAGGTGTCCCCAGGAGCTAGAGTTACAAAAGTTTTAAGAAATCTGATGTGGGTGCTGGGAATCAAACTCCGGTTCTCTGTAAGAACAGAATGTGCTCTATAACCACTGAACCATCTCTCCAGTCCATGTTTTCTTCTTCTTCTTCTTCTTCTTCTTCTTCTTCTTCTTCTTCTTCTTCTTCTTCTTCTTCTTCTTCTTCTTCTTATATTTATTTATTTATTATGCATACAATATTCTGTCTGGGTGTATGCCTGCAGACCAGACCTCATTACAGATGGTTGTGAGCCACCATGTGGTTGGTGGGAATTGAACTCAGGACCTTTGGAAGAGCAGACCAAACCTCAGCTCTTAACCGCTGAGCTGTCTCTCCAGCCCTTTCTTCTTCTTTTTTAATGAAATGGAGGGACTGCGGTATTGCTCACTGAGAAAAGCCTTGCCTTCATGAACTCAGAGCACCGGGAAGGCTGAAGCAGGAGCATCAAGACTTCCAGGCCACTTGGGTGACATAAGAGAGAAACCTGTACCACACCTTTCACCCCAACACTTGGGAGGCAGAGGCAGGTGGATCTCTGAGAATTGGAAGCCAACCTGGTCTAGAGTTCCAGGATAGACAGGACTGTTACACAGAGAAACCCTGTCTCAGACACCAAAAAGAAAAAGAAGAAAAGAAAATGGGCAAAAAACAAGAATAGACATTTCACATTCAGAATATACAGAAGACAGAGGAAAAAGGAGGACAAGGAAAGGCTCTAGCTGTAGCTCAGTGGGTAGAATGTTTGCTTAGGATGTGCAAATCCTGGGCTCACTCCCCAGCATTATCTAGTTTAGGTGTAGCGGCACAAGCCTATAATCCGAGCACTTCCACGATAGGTACAAGGAGACCAGGAGTTTAAGGTCATTCTTAGCTACACAGTGAGTCTGAAGCCAGGCTAGATTATATGAGACTGTCTCAAGAAAAAGGGAAAGGAAAACAATACCAGACAGGATGGCTCATACGCTGAGGTAAGAGGATCACCTGAATTCAAGGCCAGCTTTACCCACGTAGGGATTTCCAGGCCAGTTTAACTTCATTAGCCACTAGAGAAACATGAATTAAAACCATAATGAGATATCAATACACTTGTAAGAATTCAAAAGTAAAAAACAGTGAGCACGTTCAACTTTTAGAAAGCTAAATCAGGAGGACTGGGAGTTCAAAGCCTGCCTGAACCACAACAGCAAGAGCTTGGCTTAAAGCTAGCTATGATAAAGCTTGAGCCACATAAGCCCTTATTTAAAAAATTAAAAAAAAAACTCCCTTAAAAAAGAGGCCAGTAATGAAAATACAAAATACTATTGATGATAAAACAGGATCTAGATTCTTAACAGGAATTGAAATTATTCTGACTAAAAACTCGCCTGCTGGCTGGGGATACAGAGAACGGTAGAGTAGCAGAGTGTATCCTAGCAGATACAGGACCTGAGCTCAATATTAAACCGAAAAGAAAAATCCATCTGCAGCTGAGACATAAACCAGCTCCCAAATCATGATACACAGACTTATTATTAGTTTTGAATGCTCTGCTTAGCTTGAGTCTGTTTCTAGATAGCTTTTTAAAACTCAATTAACCTGTTTATCTCCCTTTGCCTCAGGGCTTATCACCTTTCTTCCTTCTGTATCTCTTCCATTCACTGTTTCTCTATACCTGACTGGCTGGCATCTGTCTAGCTTCTTGTCCCTGGCATATCTATTGTTCTCTCCTCCTTCTCTACTTCTTTCTTCCTTTCTCTTCTTTTTCAGTCTAGATTTCTCCTCCTGTTCACTCTCTCAGCCAGTTAGTCCACTTATCCTTTATCTGCCCTGCTATTGGCTATTTGTTAGACCAATCAGGTGCCTTAGGCAAGCTAGGTAAAACAGATACCACTTATCTTTACATAATTAAATACACACCCTTACACCATTAAACAAATGCAACATTAAAGAGTAACACACCTTAACACAGTTAAAGTAATATTCCACAGTAAAAATAGATGTAGCACATCTTTCTGTAATTAACAAATGCAGCATGAACAAATACAACACATCTTTGCCTGGCTAAGCAAATATTTCACAACAGGGATATACCTATAGTTCCTGATACTCTGGAGGTTGATGCAAAACATCACCTTAGCTCAGGAATTCAAGTCCAGCCTAGAAAGCACAGTGAAATCCTCGTCTCTGAAAAAAAGAAACACCTAGATTGTAGCAAAAATTAATATACTATATTATTTCATTTATGTAAGTTTCTTTTGTGGTGGTGGATCAGATCTAGAGCCCCACAGATGCTAGACATGTAACTACCCTGAGCTGCATTTCAGCCTCTGTAGAACATTGTTAAATAACAAGAGCTAAAGAACTAATCAGTGATTAGCAGGAGTTAGAGGTAGATAAAGGGTGCAAAGTGTTCATAAAGAGTTGCCATAAGGAAACCCTGCAACAGATGATTCCCTATTGGGGGTATTGAGACTATGGTGCCCAGGTTAACCTCTTGCCTCAATCTCTTGAGCACTAGGACCACGAGTGGGAGCCACCATGCCTAGTCTATTTCAGCAAGCTTTGGTTTAGCTTTGTTTTGGATGGTTAGTTAATTGCTGGTTTTGTTTATCTGTGGTTTGTTTGGAAACAGGACCTCATGTAGCTCAGACGGCCCTCCAGTTTATTTTGTAGCGGGCCTATTTCTGGGTCTTGACTGCGATGACAAATACCTGAATGTACACTTACAACAAAGTTTCAAGAAATGGGAAATGCGTGACATAACAAGCATAAGGAGCCCCGACGAGAGCAGAAGTCTTGTGGGTGGCAAGAATTACAGTTCTGCATTTGCTTATGTTTTGCGTTGGTTTGGGGTTTTTGTTTTCCTTGTTGTTATTTGGAGGTAGTTGTTCTATGTAGTATTTAATTCACTACGGAGCCAAGGCTAGCCTACAACTTACAGGAGTCCTAATGTAGCTCCCCAAATGCTGGGAATATAAGCATGAGACACCAGGTCCAGCTTAATTTCTTGGTTTTAGGTTTTGTTAATGGTGTTGGTGTTGGTTGTTGTTTGAGAGAGTTTCAAGCTGGCTTCACTCAAAGTTGCTAGATAGCAAATACAAAAAAAAACAAAAACAAAAAACAAAAAACACTTCAATCCTCCTACATCTCCTTCCCAAATGCTGGGATTACAGGTACCTGCCCCCACGTCCAATTTATGTGGTGCTAGGAATCTAAGGGCGGGGGATCCTGGCCTGGACTATGTAAATGGAGAAAGTGAGCTAAGCACAAGAAAGCACGCATTCATCACTCTGCTTCTTGACTGGCAGTGTAACCAGCTCCTCAAGTCTCTGGTGCTGTGACTTCTCTGCTCTGTTGGACTGTGACTTGGAACTAGGAGTGTTCTCGCGCATGCGTGCACACACACATGCGCACAGACACACACACACACACACACACACACTACCTTTCTCTCTTAAGTTGCCCTTTTAAGGGTATTTGATCACGATAACAGGAACAAAAATTAATATACCCTGTCTGTCTTAGTTACTTTTCTATTGCTAAGACAAGGCACCATGACCAAAGCATCTTATAAAAGAAAATATTTAGTTTGGGCTCACTGGGGCCAAGGGTTAGAGTCCAAGGCCATCATCTGGGGAGCATGACAGCAGGCAGGCAGGTATGCTGCTGGAGCAATAGCTGAGAGCTCACATCTTAATCTGCAAGAAGGAAGAAGAAGAGAGCTAACTGGAAATAGCACATGCTATTGGAACTTCAAAGCCCACCCCCAATGATACACCTCCTTCAACAAGGCCACAGCTCCTAATCAAATCATTCCAACTGGGGACCAAGCATTCGAATATAGGAGCCTATGAAGGTCCATTCTCATTCAAACCAC